CACACTGTGTCTTTGGTAAGGAGTAGGCTGAAGCAGCAACCTACCCAGTTGGGTTCCTTTCCTTTTCATCCCTACCTACCTCCGTGCTTTCCCTCACCTCTGCTCCTTGACTCCACCATGGCATCACTGCATCCCCTAAAGAACAAGGCAGGAGTCCCAGCAGTGAAGCAGGGCAGTCAACTCCCAGCCCATGCAACCTTGGGACGCACAGTGCCAAGGAAGGGGAACCACCAGGGAAGAAAGCTGGACTAAGGGCCAGACCGCAGCCAGGACACCCATCCCTGGCCCTGGGACCATCCCCATTGCCTATCCACCCCGCTCCCAGGGAGCCTGGGCAGGCACTGAAACCAACCCCCACCCCCACCCCTAGGCCCGTGCACACCAGCTCAGGACCATTAACCCCTCCCCCGCCTGGGCAAGGCCTTGAGTGATGGTCCATCTATTATGCATGCTCCTTCCTGCTCTGTTCCATTTCTCCCCACCCCTGCGCCACCCCGCATCCCCCTCCACCACCCCTCCTTAAGGGCTTTTAACCAAGTACATTAGCCAGGGCCAGATGCCAGTCTGACAGCTGTCCATAATGTTAGCCCCCGTTTCCCTCCTTCCTCCCTCTGCCCATTGCAATCTACCTCCCACCACTCTTGGCTGCCAAAACTTCCTAGGCCCAGGCGCACCCCTCCTCTTTCTGCCAGGCTCTCACCTCCCAGCCCCCCCCCCCCCCGCCACCCCCACTGGCCTGGCTAACTTTCAGCTTCCAGCTCCTAGAGAGCCACCAGAGGCATGCTGAATGAATATTCCATCTGAGTGATTATTATTCACATGATATTAATTAATTATTAATTGCAATTAATCTCCATTCCTAACCTTCCTCCGGGAGGGAGCTGAAAGGATAGGGGGCGGGTGGAGCTGGCATTTGTGGGTGAGCTCAGGCACAACTTTCCAGGGCCCCACTCCCTGGGAGGGCAGGAAAGAGAGCCAACGTCTATCTGAACACAGTGGGAAACTGAGGCTGCAGTGAACACTGTGCTGTTCCAAGAAAGCCCACTGAAGGCCGCTGCCAGGAGAACCTAGAAATTGGGTTTCTCCCCTTCCCCCCTTCCAGCTCAGTCTTTGAGCAGAACCACTTGCCTTGGCAGGAGGGGACTAGGGGCCAGTGGAAGGCTGACCCAAGCTGAGCTGAGACCTGGGCATCCAAGGATCCCTGAATGCCAAAGACGGTGATAGGAGGGGGACCTGGTGCTCTGAGGGCTCGGTGCTCCTCACTAGTGACTTGGGCACCCACCTGATAGCCATTGTGCAGAAGGGGAAGCTGCAGGAGCTGGCAGCAGAGAGGGGAGCAGACCCCAGTTCCCCTGGTTACCCAGGCCCCCAGCTGCTCTTGGCCTCTAAGGCCTGCTCCAGCCCTGGGGCCCCACCACCCAGCCCCGCTCACCGGGCCCCCTGGTGGCTCTTGGCGGACCCTGGTGTCCAGCTGCTGCTTTCGGACCTCTCCCCCGGAGCTCTCCCCCACAAGACGGCTGGGTTCGGTGATCTCGTGGGCTTCTGCGTTCCCTACCTGGGGTAAGCTTCCCCAGCGCAGAGCTCCAGCAGGACCCCGGGCCCCAAGACCTGGGGAGACAAGGCCAGAGCTGCAGGCAGATGCCCACCTTGGGGCAGGAGGTTGGGAATAGGGTGGCCAGACACGATCCCCCACTCCCTAGTGTGGAGCCCCAGGAGCCCTGGAGGGGGTACCTAGTGAGGGTCTGGCCGCCCAGCTGAAGGAAGACCCCCATGGGGAGGGGCTAGGAGCTTCATTCCTGCCCAACCGTCACGACTGCCCCCCCAAACCCGCAGAGACCTGCAGAGTCTGCCAGCCGGCAGCAGAGGGATGGCTCCGGTAGGGCCGGCCAGATAGGGGACAGGTGGCTGCACGCATCCTAACCCTTACCCCCTTTCCGCGCTCTGGACCCGCTATCATCCCAGCACTGCAGGAAAATGTGGCTGCAGCAGAAACCACTGCAAAACCGGGGCGGGGGAGGGGGCCGCCGGCCGGGGTCACTCACCAGGCGCGGGGAGCAGGGGGAGCAGCAGCAGCAGCAGCAGCAGCGGCAGAGCCGCGAACGCCCAACGCCGCCTCATGGTTCGCTCATACCCTTCCGTCCAGGGGCTGCGGCT